GCACACGGATTATGTAGGACATAAGACCCCTTACTTGGCTGCTGAACTGCACATGTGCGTTCATATAGCTGGAGGAGTGGCTGGAATCCTAACAGTGCGGACTTTACTCGGGCTGTGTTCTTCCAACTGGTGTGTATGGCGCTTGTGCCTCTAGGATCTGCTGATGCTGGAGAGGAACGTTCACTGGAGGCTGCTCTTCCTCCAGATGATGCAGGTGCTGCTTGTGCCTCTCGGGGCTGCTGACTTTGTGGAAGATGGTTGGCCAGAGGGAGGTGTTGAAGTCCAGCTCCAGCCTTTTGAAGAATTCTTGGGGGGAGAAGAGAGGAATGAAGAAGTATTAGATAGAAATACAGGCAGAGACAACAAGAAAGGCAGAGAAACAGGATACCTTCGGGAGGGCCCTGGGTCAATACCCAGTCACCCAGAGTTTTATTCTAATGGGTTTTTTATACACTACCAAGGGGAGAGGCAAAAGACCTCCCCCTTTCAAAACCAAAGCACAAACAAGTGCCCACACCCCAGAGCAAAGCATCTTGTAATGAGGCTTTGAAGTATAAGACACCTGGCAACCATGCCTTTGTACCCTACTATGCAGCCTTGGAGAGCAACAAAAACTCTGACTCTCTGGCCTTGAGTCAAACCACAAGTTGGAATCTTTGTGGGCTCCCACACAGAAGGAAGTGGGAAGGTGGTTCTGTGACAGCTTGTGGACCCGAGTTCAAGTCCTCAACACCAATGTAATGTCAAATTCACTGGTTTGAGCATCTGTGATCCCAGCACTCCTACAGGAAGATGATGAGTAGAGACAGGAGAGTCCCCAGGAGCTCACAGACCACTAGCCTGTATAGACAGTGGCAGTGAGACCCTGTCTTAAAGAGGTGGAGGACAGGGACTAACACTCAAGGTTGCCCTCTGACCTCCAGATGTGTGCTGTGGCACACACAGCCCTAATAGTCACACATATTCCACACACATATTCTGTGTGTGTGTCGTGTCTGTCTCTGTCACATACACACACACACACACACACACACACACACACACACACTACTAAGAAGCAAAGAAGTAGGGGGCAGGAAGAGGAAACAGACACTTCAGGACACTACCTGTCAACATGAGCTTACGTTTCACTGGTCACCTCTGTCTTCAGTGCGACTAAGGGGAAGGTGTGGGAATGAGGGCTACAGCAGTCCAAAACACTGTAGCTGCATCATTTTCAAATGCCCACCTGTGAACAAGGTGTGGACACATATTTTTTCCATAGTTAATGCTCTCATTCCAGGAATATTCAGACCACTTGCCTCTCTCAATTTCAGTTTTCCCAGACAATTAACCATTCAGAGTTGGCTGTTATGATTGTCAGTGTTATCCAGAGGAACAGCGGTCATGGAAGATTCACTTAACTTACGGTTAAGTAAATGCTATTATTAATATTTTATACAATATTTTAATTGAGATTAGTATTTTATTCGTGTGTGTAGGTTCTGGAGATTAAACCTAGGTCTCAGGCTTGGTGGCAAGCACATCTACCTGATGAGCCATCTCACTGGCCCTAGAAGATTTTTTTGGATTGGTTAACACAGGGCTGGCATAGTCCGCAGTGGCCACCTACACGTCCAGTCCAGAGGCTG